TAAGTGAATGTATTTTGTGTTGTACTGTTCTTGTGTGTGTTTATTGTTTCAATTTGTCTCGTTGTCGTTACTGTCTTTATGTGTACTTGTTGTTATAATTCTTCTGTCTGTTGCTGTTGTTTTGCTAGTGTAATTTATTATTACTATTCTATTTATTGTAAAATATACGTAATATTACAACAACAATGTTATATATTTTTGCTATTGTATTATAAACTATTTTTTGACGTTATTTTCATTATCTAACACAATAGCAATATAAAAATGAAAGTATTATTATTAAATTTAAAGATATTGGTTGAAAATCAAAACAGATTGATAATTAGAAAGCATTAGGAATGAACGATTTGGACAAATCTTTAATCCTCTTTAATGAAGGTAGATGATGAATTAGATCAAATTATCCTCTAGTTAATATATATAAATATAGAAAACAGTAATTATGATTAAATTCACGTAAATACAATTTTTATAACATAATTTACTGTAAAGCTCCATAAAATAGGGGAGAAAAGTAATGAAAACTTTTTGGTTATTGCACTTCAACCAGACATTTATTGAGAAAAATATAAAGAAAACGGTTAAAAACAATTTAAAGGAGTAAAAAACACACAAAAAATTATATTTTTGAAAAATACGAAGTTGAATTTTCCAATATCGAAAAAAGCATCGAGCCATTCTCTGAGAATCGGTTTGTGGATCAGTTTGTCTCCCAATCGTCTGATAAATTGGATAACAGTTGATTGCCAATCGAAAAAGGAAGCCAATTATTGTTACACAAAGCCGTCCCTTCTGTTGATCTTTGTACAGCTTTTAAACATACAACCCCCTTTATCAAAATTTATTTGTCCTACGTTTAACCCGAGTGTCGCCTATGACGTTTCTGTTTGTATTTTACGAACAGACGTTCGGACGTTTCGCATATTTTGCATTTTTTAATTTAAGTTTTTTTCAAGTTTTTACGTGGTTGTAAAAATTTGATACGAAGTTTTTACATTATCAGGTATTGTCTTCGCTGTTTTTCTACAAGAACGTCACACAAAAAAGAATTTTGGAGTTAATTTTTTGAAGTTTTGTATAGTCGACCTCCCTATAACACTGTTGATTATTCCGTTTTATATGAATTCCATGTTGTACGAGTCGCTTAGATTTTACAAGTACGTGTGCTGGACTGTGAACGGCTCACGTATTTGTAAAATCTAAGCGACTCGTACAACATGGAATTCATATAAAACGGAATTATCAACAGTGTTATAGGGGGTCGACTTGTATTAATTATGTAAATCATTGTTTAAAATTATTTACAATGCAAATATTCAAAGTATGAAAAGAAGTATTAATTCTAAATCAATATATTAGATTTTACAGTCCTTAATAGAAAAATTATAAAAATATGCCACAAATTACATCTGTGGTATTACTTTTCAATTTCTTTTGATTGCTTCTTTATTCAATTGTTTTATTTTAAAAAAATAAATAAAACAATTAGAAAAAATGATTATTTACTTGTTTTTTTTTTCAGAAAGTTAATGTTGTAATGACTATATAGATTTTGATAATTAATTGTATATTAAATACTTGTATAAAGTATTAAATAAAACATATACAAAAACCATTTGAAAATTTTGATACAATAAAATATTTTATTGTAATATATTCTAACAAAAATTTTAATATAATTTTACAAGATTATTATATTTATTATATTAATTTAACTAAAATGATATAATTAATTGTCACTTAAAATTGTTTGCTTTATTTTCTATTTTAAAATTAATAAGATTTCTTCTTCAAACATTTAAATACAAGTAAAAAAATGTAGGGTTTTATATTAGTTTTAATATGTTTAAAAATGTGAAAGTAAATTGAAGAATTTCACTAGTTTTGTTAAAATATAAATATTTGTAGATTGTCCCCATCTCTCAGTTGGAATTGGTGCTCAAGGATCTAGTCGTGATACCACTTTTGGTGCATTAGTTAGTTATACTTGTCCCAAAGGTCAAGAATTTAGCAATGGAGAAATAAAAATTGATGCTGAATGTAGACAAGGTGGAAAATGGAGTGTAAATCATATACCTAGATGTCAAGGTAAAATAATTTATCATATGAAATACAAAATAAATATTAAAAGAAATCAAATAATTTATATTTTGTTACTTTTTTCAGAACGTTATTGTGGTCCAGTACCTCAGATTGATAATGGTTTTGCAGTTGTGGCTACTAATGTTACTTTTAGAGGCCAGGCAACTTATCAATGTTATGCTGGATTTGCTTTTCCAAGTGGATTACCTACAGAAACAATACGTTGCACAGAAGATGGAAAATGGGAAAAGTTACCAGTTTGTCTGGCTTCTTCCTGCCCTCCATTACCAGAAACACCGCACGCATCACCAACACTTTTAAATGGAGGTGGAAGAAGCTATGGTACAGTTATTCGTTTTGAATGTGAGCAGGGTTACTATAGAATTGGAATTCCTGTTATTGTTTGTACGAGTAATGGACAATGGTCTGCGCTACCACCTAAATGTGAACGTAAGTAAATTTTTTAACCTGTTATGGGAGTTTCAAAATGGGAAATGTTTAGTGAATCAAAATTCCTTACATATTTGATATAGCAATTATTTCCTTGAGTTTTACCATAAAAGTTTTATAAATTATAAATGATTACAACAAAGTATTAATGATTATTTTCTATACATAATATTTTCTGAGGAACTACCTGGACTCAAATCTGGTTTCTCAGTGTGCAAACTGAACGTTGCTTCCTCAGTATTAATTATATAATAATGATAGACTATTATTATTATATAATTACTGAATATATATATATATTTATTTATTTTTTTAGGTGTGCAATGTCCAATTTTACCACAAATTGAAAATGGATTTGTAACTGGAACACATAATGTATATTTCTATCAAGATGAAGCTAAGGTCCAGTGCAACCGAGGATTTAATTTAGAAGGAAGTCCGATAATTAGTTGTGGTCCAAATCAGACATTTATAAATCTTCCTGTTTGTAAAGGTAATAAGTTATATATATATATGATATTGAATGAAAATTTGATCATTAATGAAAAACATATAAAACAGAATAATTCATAAATTTTAAAATATTTTACAGATATTGATGAATGTGCAGCTTCTTCATGTGATACTGCTTCTACTGTTTGTACTAATACAGCAGGTGGATTTTTTTGTAAATGCAAATCTGGATTTGAACCAAATTTAGGTAAATTTCAATAGATTAAAATTAAAAATTTTTTGGTTTCAAGACTACACACATTAAGAGTTGGCAGTTTAACCCACATTCAGGCCCATAGCTTTAAGAGGCCCAAAGGTGGCTCAGCTACTCTTGTCCATTATTCTAAATAAAAAAATTCTGTTTGATTATTTATATTTTTTAGGTAAATATATAATTTTGAACATTTAAATTTTGAATATTTTTGTAATGTTTTGTATGTACAGTACAATTATTTAATATTATTATATAATATATATTATATTTCAAAAATTTTTTGGGGTGGACCTCAACCCTCTTTCCATGGAGTATTCAGCAATTTCCAAACTCTTGGTAAGGCAATTCCCCAATTTGCTAAAGCCACCCTTACTATACTCGGTCTAGCTACACCGTCACTCCATTTGCAAAAAATTAAAAAATTGAATTAAAAATTAATACAAAAATATGTCTGTAAACCGATATTATAAAAATAAATAAATTATGTTAAAATTAGTGTTATTTTTAAAACCCTACCCTTTTAAAAATCCTGTGCACATGCACGTTTGATTTAAAATTTATAAAAGTTGACTGAAATGTATACATTATATCAGTTAAATAATTAAATATGAATTTTAGATTGTCGTCCGGTTGGTGACTTGGGTCTTAATACTGGCAATATACCAGATACTAGTATAAGAGCATCAGGAACAGAAGCAGGATATAATAAAAATGTAAATAGCTACTTATAAATTAGAGGTATTTTTTCTATTTAAATAGAAANATCTAGAATTTCACATCTTGTCTGCTTTATCTGCCTTGAATACTAAATGTAAAAGTAAGATTGACCAATAAATATTAAGAAAAATATCTATTATTTGATATAGTAAGTAGAATTTTATATATATATATGGAGAATAACAACACCACTGGTATAACCAGGAAGCTACCTGGGAGAGGCCCTGGGCCCCTATGGGAAATAAAGTAAAAAAAAAAAAAGAAAAATGTTGCTACATTGATATAAAAACTGCCTCAAATTTAGCCCAATTTTTAGGATTTTTTAAGAAAAACTTTTAGGCCTCGTAGGCACAATAGGGTTTTTTTTTTTTTAAATAGGAAATCCATGGGTTCCGGCCAGGCCGCAATGGGGTGACCGAGTGACAAGGGAAGGATCTAATATAACAAGTTCGTTATAGGAAGAATTAGAAAATATACCAATATAATTAATATAATAGATTTCAGTAGGACTTCTGTAATATAGATTAAAATATAAATTATGTTGTTTTAGGTGATTATCTGAGTAAAATTACCGTAACGTTATCCTTAAAAGGAATTTTTTTTAAAACAAGTTTTTATTGTTTACCTTGAACGAAAGTCTGAAACTAGTGCAGAGTTGCCCTTGGAAAATTCGATAAAAAATAAATAAATAAATACGATTTCTTGAGTAGAAATGTAAAATCATAATCTGTAAAATATTACAAGTTTATTTATAATTATGTATTATAAAACACAACAAGCATTCGCTACTAGTACAAAGGAGTGTATAACCTTGATAACTCTGAAGGGCAACCATTATGTTACTAATTTTGTTTCTAATAATGAAGAAAAATCAAGGAAACGATTTATTGTTAGATGGATTCGGTTTTCTTTTATCTAAAGATAATCTCATCATCTTGTTAATTCTTCTTATTGTATTTGATTCTTCCTTCTAACAAGATTGACTTTTAATAATAAAACAAAGCTATTTAAATAGTTTGAATTCTATAGAATAATTAAACAGTACGATTTCTAACATTAATTTTTACAAAATATTTTTATAGGTACGGCAGTGAATTAGTTTTAATAGAAGATTACAACCAAAACAATTTTACAAATGATATAGCTAAAGCTAGTCTCAGGGAAGCGGGGCAATTATCTTACTGGATTGGTACGTTTTAAATAAATTTATTAAGACAAGAATTTGATTTTAAATCTCTTGTATGAAAAGAATTTATTTAAATTATTATTTTTTTTTTATAGGTTTAACATCCGTGGATAGCTTATCGACGAACACTTTAGAATCTGCCAGTGGTAGTTTTATATCAAAATATGTTGGTTTTTGGGATAAAGACCAACCCGAACCTAAAGATGGCAAATGTGTTAAAGTTGTTCTGTCGGAAGGTATTCAAGTATGGAAATTGGCACCCTGCGAGTCACTTTTACCATTTATGTGCCAAGTAAATGCTTGTCCTAAAGGTATAACTTCTGTAATATTTGATCTCATTATACTGTATATATATCTACAATAAATTTCATAACATTTGTATCTATTTATACTTATCACGCAACTTTTTATAACCTACTTCTAATAATAGAATACAGTTTGTGATTGTTAAATTAGATTAAAGAAATCGAATGAATTGAATTTATATTTTAAAAATATAATATTTTGTTTTAATTGTTCTGATTAAGATGGTAGCTATTTGTAATTGAAAAAATCCAGTAATGAATTGTGTATTTTCCTGGCAACAGCATTCAAAATTGTATGTTGCATTGATGCTATTAAATTTTGGTGGTAGAAGGTCAAGAGGGTGGGAAGATAGAGGGGGGTCATTTATCTTCAGAGGGATAGGACTTAAGATTTTGTTCATTATTAACACTTACACTTTTTCATAAAACTCATCCCTACTCTCATAATTAAGCTTTTTGCTATTTTATAGTAATTAAAACTATAAAAATTTTTTATAACAAAATCTGATAACAGACGACACTACAAACAATTTTATTTTTAATTAAATACAAATTTTTTTTTTAAAATAAACTCATAATAGCTGGAAAAGTTATGCAACTCCTGTTGCTGGATTTTTTTTTTTTTTTTGCAGACTGCTCTGTAGCTATTTGTCACTCCAATCACCAGATGAATAAAATTTTTGTAAATTGCAAATTTTGTAACAGACAGTGTGACTCCTGCATAGGTTAATTTATCATATAGTTATACTACCATTATTCTTTACATTTGTATTTATAGCAAAATATTTATAGTAACTTCATGAAACTTCTTCTATAGAACATTAATGATTGATAATAGACAAATACTAATTTTTCTTCAAAAATTTCATAATAGTAATTTAATAATAATCTTTAAACTATAAGAATTCTGAAGTAAAGAATGGAAGTTTGCAAAACCATTTAAGAGATAAAGTCATATAAGTACTTAGAAATAAGTTAATCTTTACTAATTATTACGAAGAAATAATAATTTTCTCTGCAACTTTATTATTATATATATTAAAATTATAAATTGTATATAGATAGAAAGTCAATCATCTAAATGGTGAGTAGAAGTTTATTTGAAAATATTTAAAAATATCTGGAACCATCTTTCATTTCATTGCTTTTATTCTTCTGAGTCATATAAATAATAATATTACATGAATTTTAAATTTAACATAAAAGGAGAATATTTTAAAAATTCTTAAAATTTTAAAATTACTTGTTATGTACATACTTGTGTTATGTTATTTTTAATACTATTTGATATTGTTAAAATAATATTTAAAAAGCATATGTAATATTTTTCATATTCTAATAACAGTCCTGATAGAGAAGGTACCAGAAACAAATAAAAATACAGCCAATTTACGTATTTATTTATTTTATCTGATTTTACGTTTAAATTAATATTTTTTCAAAAATAAAACGTAAAATCAAGATTTTTTAACTGCATTAATTTCAAAGCTATAATTTTTATATAAATAAAAAATAATTTTTGTTTTTTTAAAATAAATATAAATGCCAATGATATATATTTACTTAGAAATTTAAGCTGACAGATTCCCAACCCTCATCTACATAAATTGACATTTTAAGCAGATACCTATATACCATTGTGTAATTCTCCAGTAATTGTTCCTTCACCTGCAGGGTTACCATCTTGATCCCGCCATTTCCAATCTGGTCCTCGGATAACTCTGGCCCCCACAATCATGTGTCTTATTTGTTGTTTAATTATTCTTCTTTGTCGCCTCAAATTCGCTTCTGCCTCTTTTGCCGTCTTACCTGAATATGTATTGTAAAATTACCCAATAATAATAATAAGAAAAACATAGATTTGCATATATTTCTATAATTCAGATTTTCATTTTACCTATATCATCACAAACACCAGTAATTGTGCCATAAATTTCAAAACCTGAGAGAGACATATAGTGTGTCTGTCCACTTGCATTTTTCCCTGTTTGTTGTAAACGTATATGTCTCCAACCTTGGGTTTCTTCTGAAGGTGTTTCTAAAGGCCATGATGCTGTAGATCCAGGTTCATTCAAAGAACAATCATCAGTATGTGTATAAAGTGTTGTCCAATTTACACCATCCTTTGAAACTTGAAATAACCAATTCCTAAGAGCTGATCTATGATAAATAAATTTATAGCATGTAAATAATTTAATAGCAATAAAATTTAGTCATCTATTGATATTTAGACTTGAAAATTATTTCTTTAGTCTCTTTCTTTTAATAAGAATATGTTCTTAATAATAATAAAATAAATATCATAAATACAAAAATTACCCATTTAAAAAATAAAATCTCAAATTTAGATGCTTCTTAACATAAAATAACTTTTCCCAAAAAAATACAAAAAATAAGCAATATTGAGAATAATATGTTATCATAAAATATATTTAGCAAAATTAATACTATTCAATTTCTTTCTAGAGAAAATGTGAGAGCAAAATATATAGTAAGTATATTAAACTTTTATATTAGAAGAATGTTAACATAAAAAAATAGAATATTTTTATTATAAAACAAAAGTATAAAAATGGAACTACATGTAATTATACAAGCAGAAATGCAAACTTTCAGTAAGCTGAAAATGGCTGGAAAAAAGTAATGTGAAAGTGAGCACAATGTGACTGGAAAAAAAAGCTGTAACATTAAAAGAAAAAATATATATAAATTACAAGAGAGGATAGATAGGCAATCATATTACAATTTATAGGGATTTAAATATAATCATTCTTATTGTAACAGTAATTGTAAAAACTGCCAATGAAATTAGAAACAATACTAAGAATTAAATTTTTAGATACTCATTTGAACCTATAATTTATCATTGTAGGACCATATGAGTACAATAATTTAATCATCATATTATTATTATTATTTATATCGTAACTTAAATCTTAATGTCTAATAAATTTATGATATATTATTATGTATATCAGCTAAGACACAATAAAATATTACAATTAAATCATAATAAATTTAACCCACTGACATCCATATATAGTAAATAAATTCACATTAACTGGCATGATATTAACACACATGCATAACAAACAACCATTCAGAATCATCTATGTACTAAAGTAAAGCACACGATTATAAAAACTGTTGTAATGATGATAATGGTTATCAAGTAATCTTAATGACTTTTTCCCCAACAAACTATTTGCTGTAAGAATTTTTCTTGTTAAATTACAATAGGAAAAATAAAGCAGCAAATAAATTTATTTATATAAAATTTATTAGCATAACATAATATTTCAGTATACAACAAAATTTTGTTCAAATGTCTATAAAGTTTTTTTCCTACATGTAAGAAATAGGCATCATTTTAGTTGAAACAAATAACGTCAGTCTTTCTAGACTAAAATTTAATTTACAATGTCAACTTGAGACGTTATTTTCAGAAGCATTTTCATACTGGCCCTGTCCAGTATGAATGCCAAAATGGCAGGGAGGAGTGTCACTATGGCAAGAATGAAATTGAGCATATTTTCACTTCTAATTATTTTAAATAAAATTAAATAGTAAAACAAATGCAATAGGGCTCATACACATTAAGCACCACAATTATGTATCAAACATAAATGTAATTCATATTCAAGTATTTTAACAAATTGGAAATAGATTTTGCCATGGTGTATTCTTTATATATAGATTTCTTAAGTTGCAAACATTTTTTACAAGTTCTATCCACTTTTCTTTCCTACAATGATTTTAAATGAAATGTATAAAAATTGCTAATAATTAACTGTAATTATATTACAAATCAAGTTTATGCATGACAAATTAATCTAAATCTTGTTTGTTTTGTAACTTAAAATTTATTAGATTAGCATTTATTTCAACAAGAGATCCAGTATTAAATATAAGAATTATTATTTTATCACAAAAATAACTTTTAGTTTGGAATGAAACAAGCAACTCCTGGGAAAATTTTAAAAATTTTAACCAAATACCTATAATGTTTATATCTAAAAAATTTACTTGTATTATCTACTGAATAGAAATAAAATTATCATTTATTTTTTTATATATATATAGAATTTCTATTTATTAATTATTTTTCACAAAAATACAAACAAGCATTTATAAATTAACATTATCTCAATTTTTCATCATTTTTCAGCTAATTTTTACATAACAATTGCAAAAAAACAAAGTTTTTGTATGTGCATTAGTTTAAATCAATTTTTAAGTTGTAGCTAATATGAAAAAAATTAAAAAACAATACCATACAATCCTAAAATCTGAATTTATGATGATTATTAAAGAAAAATTTTGAATGCAGCAGGTTAAATTGATAAAAAAAATAAAATAAATTGAATACCTTCCATATCCTCTAGCATGACGTAAAGTATAACAACTTGGTATCAGCCATAATCCCAAATCAATAGCAAACCAGGCTCTTCTGAAGTATATTGTAAAATATATTAGAATTGTTATTGGATAACATAATATATTAATGAGTAAAATGAAATAATTATTTAAAATAATTTACTTATTTATACTATTATAAAAAGACACTATTTAAAATTTATTATCTATATTTATAAAATGTAAGTAATTTAATAATATTATATGTAAAATTTTTGTATTTTTCTAATCCCCGTGTTTTATTTGTAACAGTTCAATAAAATACAAATCAATTTACAAAATACAAAAACAATGTACAAAATAATTACAATTAATCTGGTGTATTGTGGAACAAAAAAATAATAATCTGTTTTTATACCATAATATGGTAAGNTACAATTATTTAATATTATTATATAATATATATTATATTTCAAAAATTTTTTGGGGTGGACCTCAACCCTCTTTCCATGGAGTATTCAGCAATTTCCAAACTCTTGGTAAGGCAATTCCCCAATTTGCTAAAGCCACCCTTACTATACTCGGTCTAGCTACACCGTCACTCCATTTGCAAAAAATTAAAAAATTGAATTAAAAATTAATACAAAAATATGTCTGTAAACCGATATTATAAAAATAAATAAATTATGTTAAAATTAGTGTTATTTTTAAAACCCTACCCTTTTAAAAATCCTGTGCACATGCACGTTTGATTTAAAATTTATAAAAGTTGACTGAAATGTATACATTATATCAGTTAAATAATTAAATATGAATTTTAGATTGTCGTCCGGTTGGTGACTTGGGTCTTAATACTGGCAATATACCAGATACTAGTATAAGAGCATCAGGAACAGAAGCAGGATATAATAAAAATGTAAATAGCTACTTATAAATTAGAGGTATTTTTTCTATTTAAATAGAAAATATTAATGATTCTTTTATATTTAGGATGTTCGATTAGATAGTAGCAGCGGTTGGTGTGGAAATATTCCTAGAGCAGGAGAAAATTGGATTCAAGTAGATCTGAGAGCTCCAGTTGTAATCCGAGGTTTCAGAGTACAGTCAGTTAGTAGAACTGATGGTTCACAAGCATTTCCTCTCAGTGTTAGATTGCAATACACAGATGATTTAACAGATGTTTTTAGAGATTATAGTGAACCTTCAAGAAGGGTATAATAAAATATATAAAAGTTTTAAAATTTGTACAAAGAATAAAATATATATAATTGAAATTTATTTTAGTATTTTTATTTTTTTTTCTATTTCCTTTATTTAGCCAATTGAATTCCGTCTCGCTCATAATGGTGGAACAGGTTTATCATTAGTAAATTTGCCAATACCTTTAGAAGCACGTTATTTAAGATTGATTATAATGGAATATGTAAGAGCGCCATGCATGCGTTTTGAGTTGATGGGTTGCACAAGACAAGACTGTCTAGGTAAATTTCTTTTTTAATTTAGAATATGATCAGTTTATAATCAACAAAAATTGAAGACAATAAATTTTTATTTAATTTATTATGTTATTATAGATATAAATGAATGCTTAGATAAGAATGGAGGATGTGATCAGAGATGTATTAATAATCCTGGTAGTTATAATTGTTTATGTAATGTTGGCTATGAATTATATACAAATAATGGAACGAGTGGTTTCTACATTCCACAAAGTGAAAATGGTAATAAAAATGGGGATGTATATCAGATGAATAAAACTTGTGTTCGTAAGTAATTTTTGTGGAAAAATTTTTTGCATTGTATTTTCATAATAAACATATTGGAAATAAATATTGTTAATTAAATGCTAATATTATTTTTATCAGCTAAAATGTGTCCAAAATTGAAAAATCCAGTAAATGGTATCCTATTATCAACAAAATCAATGTATCATTTTGGTGATATTGTTCATTTTCAATGTGATTTTGGATATCAGATGATTGGGACTTCAACTCTTCTTTGTACAAGCAATGGAGTATGGAATGGAACTATGCCTACTTGTGAATGTAAGATTTAAATGTTATTTTTTTTATACATGAGATGTGACTAAAAAGCTTTCAGATTAAAAATACACTTATTATTTCTACATGATCTGTTCAGAAGCATTCTTGAAAGCATTTGTCAATTTTCAGAAGACATCCAAGAATACAATTAATTGTAAACATTTTTTGATTATCAATGAAATTTTTTATTTTTGTAATTAAAATCCTTCCTTTATAATGGAAATTTCAATTCTTGGAATAGGCTTTATTATATTCTTATTAGAATATAATAAAGTCAATATATTTTCAATTTCTTATAACATAAATTGGTAGAAGTTTACTTAGGTAGTCCCTATGGTGGCACTTCTGGAATCTCAACAACATGCCTGTTTTTATTTGATTTTAGAATTTAAATATGATAAATGGAAGTAAATATCAAGAATTCAAAAATATAAATCAAATTATGCTAATATTTGGATAACTTTCATCATTTTAATTTAATTATGGTGAAAATTGGACTTTCTCTTGCAATATTTTTATAAAATAATAATAATTTTACATATTAACTAGGGGACTTACCCACAAAAATTCTGTAATGATTCGTTGATTCCCAGTGTTGACATTTCTATTTTTCCTCCTTGCCATAAGTGATCTAACCCTTTGCATTTCTCATTCTCCCACACAGGTTTTGCCCATATTTCAAAAATAGACATCATAACAAAAATTGCATGATAATTCATTGATTCCTAGTGCCACTGTTTCTATTTTTTCTCTGACAGAAAAATGTGTTGTGACAATTTTATTCTCAGTATTTTATGTATATAGAGTAGATTGTATAATGTGGTATGTATAAATTCTAATTATAAATTAAAATTAAATTTTGTTTCAGATGCACAGTGTGCTGTATTTCCCAATGATCCATCTCAGGGTTTGAGATCTCATTTCTCAGAAGATGAAAAATTTGTTCCATTTCATGAAAATGTTACAATTTCATGTGATGAAATAGGTAAACCACTTCCACTAACATCCACTGCTCATTTCAGACAATGTGTTTATGATCCAGGTGAAAATCATCCTGATTATTGGTTATCTGGAGCACCTCCAACGTGTCCTCGTATGTTTAACTATTCATAGTAATTAGTTGTGGATAATTTTCTAGTTACAACAAAAATAAATAAATAAATATTGTTTTAGGAATTAACTGTGGAATTCCTCCAGAAACTACTGGGGCAAATTATGGTTTCTATGTTGATACAAGATACCATACTAGCTTCTTTTTCAGTTGCGAAGATACTTTTACGTTAGCTGGTAAAAGTAGAATGAAAGATAGTATAGTAAGATGCACAGAAGATGGGACATGGGATTTTGGAGACTTACATTGTGAAGGTACGTAATTTGATTATTTCAATAATTATAGACATATTTAAAAAAATTAACTCAATATATGTTTGAATAATAGGTCCTGTATGTGAAGATCCTGGAAGACCACCAGATGGTCAGCAAATTGCTACAACTTATGAGCATGGTGCTGAAATATCTTTTAGTTGTACAAGACCTGGATATTCACCCTATACTGACAAACCAATAACGTGCAATAAAAGTAAAAGCCTTATATATTTTAAAATATATTTATAATTTATAAAATATATTTACATCAATTATAAATTTATGTATTTTAGAGGCTCAATGCAAAACAGTAAAACCTATAGGAATAACATCTGGTATTATACCTGATAGTGCTATAAATGCATCATCTCAAAGAAGTAATTATGAAGCTTGGGTAAGAATATTTTAAACAGCTTCATTATATTGTATTTTAGATATATTTATTTATAATTTTATTATTTAAAACTTATTACTAATAATAATTGTTTTTATAGAACATTCGTCTTAATAGTGCAACTGGTTGGTGTGGCCAGCAAGAACCATTCACTTACATAACTGTTGATCTTGGAAGAATATATTTGTTAACAGCTATTTTGGTTAAAGGTGTTATTACAAATGATGTTGTTGGAAGACCAACTGAATTGCGATTTTTTTATAAAATGAGAGAGGCTGAAAACTTTGTCGTATACTTTCCAGTAATTGAATAAATTTAAATTTCATATTTTTATCCAGTTAATTACAAAATAAAAACAAAAACCTTTCTTTTACAGAATTTCAATTTAACAAGTCGTGAACCAGGAAATTATGGAGAGTTAACAGTCATAGAGCTACCTCAAAGTGTTAAAGTTCGCTATGTAATTTTGGGAATTGTTTCATACAAGAAGAATCCTTGTTTGAAGTTTGAATTAATGGGATGTGAAGTTGTTGAGGATGAGATACTTTTAGGTTATGATAGAGGGTATCCATTCTGTATAGGTAATTAATGTTATTAGATAATCATTTAAAGGCTTATGTTTTAAATTATTTCTAGTTGGCTTGTGTATTTATAAAAATTATTTAAAATTTACAGACAAAGAACCTCCACAGTTTATTAATTGCCCTAAAGAGCCAATTTCAGTAGAAAAATCTTCAAATAGTTTACAACAAGTCAATTATTCTGTACCAGTAGCTGTTGATAATTCAGGAAGGATTGCACGACTTGAAGTAAAGCCGGTTGGTTTCAAACCTCCTGCATATGTTGTGGAAGACACAGTTGTACAATATATTGCTTATGATTTTGATGGAAATGTTGCTATTTGTACTGTAAATATTACAGTTCCAGGTAAAAATTTTTAAAATTTAATTTCAGGTAAATTTTAAAAAATTTATCCATATTTACATTTTACATATTTAATTTAATATTTTATAGATGACACTCCTCCTTCTTTAAGTTGTCCTGAATCATTTGTTATCCAATTAGACGAAGAGCAGGAAAGCTATCATGTGAATTTTAATAATACATTAAAACTAGTACATGCTGTGGACAAATCTGGTGATGTTACTATAGATATATCACCTCAAACAGCCATTATACCAGTGGGAAGCTTTCGTAATGTTACTATTGTTGCAGCCGATAAGTTTGGTAATCAGGCAACTTGTCATTTCCAAGTATCAGTTCAAGCAGCACCATGTGTAGCATGGTCATTAGCAGCTCCTGCAAATGGAATAGTCAAGTGTTTGCCAAATGATCAGAATGATGGTTTCAGATGTCTAGCAACTTGTAAAACGGGTTTTAAATTCACAGATGGACAGCAAGCCAAAACTTATGAATGTACAAATGGCCAGATGTGGTTACCAAATAATATTATACCAGATTGTGTTTCAGAAGGTAAGAACTATAACATTTAATATTTAGAAACTCTTCTATAGCTATTTTTAACTGAATTTTTTTATTTTTAGATACTAAACAAGCATCATATGATGTAATAGCAATGACAGAATACCGTGCTGGTGGAGCATTACCAACTAGTTGTCTTAATCAATATACAAGTTATGTTAGCACTTTTTATTCATCTTTAAGTCAACTATTATCTGAACGATGTTCAGCAATCAATGTAAAAATTGGAATAACTTTTCACAATACAACAATACATACCATTTCAGAAAACCAGGTAACATTAAAATTTAAATAATTACAGATTTATTATAAAAGTATAATTATTCCATTACATATGATAATATTATTGTTAGATTATTGTATTAATGTAAAAATTCGTTGTTTTTTTTTTATTGAAGCTTATTTTGGGATATACATTACGTATTGATCCAGTTGTTCGTCAACCATTATTATATGATTTGTGTGGTTCAACGTTGGGTTTAGTATTTGATCTCAGTGTTCCAAGTACATCAGCTGTGATTGAACCTTTGCTTAATATTACTGCACAAAATGTAGGAGGAAGATGTCCAGGTTTACAAGCTATTCGTTCATCTGTAGAAAGAGGCTTTACTTGTGAAGCTGGAGAAGTATTAAACAATGTTGGTAATGGTCAAGTGCCTCAATGCTGTAAGTACTCTTACATACATAAAATATATAAATACAGTTTTTTACAAATATTTTATAATTAATATGTAATGAATGTTGCAGTGGATTGTCCTGCAGGAACTTTTGCATCTAAATCAACTGGTTGCAAATTTTGTCCTAGAGGATTTTATCAAGATTTAACACATCAAAGTAGCTGCAAACGATGTCCAGATGCCACATATACTAGATATGAAGGAAGCAAAAGTTTAACTGATTGTATTCGTATGTATTATTATTGTCATATCTAAAACAATTTATATACACTCCTCAAAAGTGAAATCACAACACCACAGTGGAATGTGCATAGGCACATACAAATTGCAGGACCAGTAGAGATGACAAAGATATGCAAATGATTAAGTTTGCATACACATCAGGGCTTGTGGTACCCAGTTTCATGCTAGAAAGACCAGCAGCCAGATGGGCTATAAATGCTATTAGTGACAGTTCATGGTAGCAAACTTGAACACCTGTGGAACCTCATCCATGTGAGATGCACCAGTGACCAATGTCACATACCATAAACAACATGAACACCACAGTGGATGCAGCTTGGCAAGAGATACCTCAGGCAACCATTAATTGCCTCATTGCCTTGCAGTACTGCTGTCTGTGGGGTCCATATTCATTACTGAATAAACAGGTGTCTGTTGCATATCTTTGTTTGTTCTTTTAATCATTTATGTATCTCTGTAACATCTACCTGTCCATCTACCAGTCCTGCATTCCTTTGTGGTGTTGCAATTGTAAGGAGTGTAACTTAATTGAATAGATTACTATAATCTTTAGTTCTCCATGTCTATATAGTTAGATATTAAATATAATTTTAGTTATAACTTTATTGTAATTTATAATGTTATGAAATGTATTTTATTTCAGCTGTATGTGGTTATGGCAGCTATTCATTAACTGGTTTAGTTCCATGTTTACAATGTCCAAATGATACATTTTCTGGTATACCACCATTAGATGGATTCAAAGAATGTCAACGATGTCCTGCAAATACATATACTTATGCACCTAGAGCAACTTCAAACACTGATTGTAAATGTAAGTGTATTAACATTTTTATTTTAAATAATTATGAAATAAATTAATGACATTTTTATAATCCTTATTAATTATTGTTTGTTAATAGAAATTATAAACATTTTTATTAATTAACATAATAAATTGGTATAGAATTTCAATTATGATTTTTCAGTTTTTATTTTTTAAATATTACTTTAGATTAACAAAGAATAAAATAATATATGTGTATATAAAGCACAAGGATTGTAAACACATTACAATTTTACAAATTTTTATTTTTATGATTAATTAAATTACTGATAAATTTCAAACAATTTAAATAATGTAATCAACTTGTATGTGATGTATTGGAGTCCCAGATATATGTGTTGTGCATGTGTGTTTTTTCTGGTGCCATATTTGTGATGTTTCTGTTCCATTATAATGTCACTCAATATATGACAGAGTAACCAAACTTTAAGTGGGAAAAAGTGTAAATTTTGAATGGTACTCCTAATGAAAAAATACAATGTAAGTAAATTTTAAAACAAAATAAAACAAATTTGAAAATAACAAAGAAAAAAATTACCACACAGCACTTAGAAATGATGCTGTTCAATGTTCAATAAAACTATCATAAAATGTACATTTTTACTCAGGACAATGATACAATGACCAAGTGTTATAGTTGTTTTAATGTACTTAAATTTCTCTTGCTAGAAATGATATGTTTTGAACTTTACCAAAATCTTTGGATCAACCCAGCCACTTTCTACAAAATTAAGCTTTAAGTGATTTGTATACTTTTGTGTGGTAAAGAGTTAAAAATTGGGTTATTAAGACAAGGTGTCACCATATTCTATCTTTGCCCATGAACTATGATCCTCTAAGAATGAATTCATCATCTTCATAAGGATCAATTCTACTGCACATTACAAGTTTACTTCTGTACCAGTCCATATTTTGACTAGTAAGAGTTGTTAAATAAAAACAACCAAATTTGTTTGCATTTCTGGACGTTTCAAGATCCTAAGTACAAAAATGTAAAAATGTTCTCATATTTTCCCTCTGTTTTGAAGGAATTGAAAAAATAAAATGCATTTTCTTCCATCTTCTACACAAACCAAACTATATACATCTCCACAAACAGCACAGCACAGCACAAATATGGCAAAGGAGGAAGAGCAATGACGATTTGATCACAGGAAATAACATTCATGCAAGTTCTCTATAATAAAAGTATAAATGAATATATCATTTGATAAAATTATTATATTGTAAACTAAAACTTTTATCATATTTTAAATTATTTTACGATTATATCCTGTATTATAAGAAAATTGAAACATGTTCTAAATTACATTTGACATTGTTGTGAAATGTTAATATTGATAATTATTCTAAAAATAAATTTACAAATTTTTCAAAGTTCTTTGACTTTTTCTATAGCTCGTTGTCCACCGGGTACGTATTCTGAAACTGGATTAGATCCTTGTATTCCTTGTCCTACAAATTTCTATCAAACTGAAGAAGGTCAGACATCATGTAAACAGTGTGAACAAAATGAAAGAACACTTAGACCAGGGGCACTTAGCAAAGATGCTTGCACACCAGGTACAATAATGAATTGTTTATGTATATGATGTTTAATATTTTAATAGTTATGAATTTATAATGTTTCAATAACCTTATGAGAATAATATAATTTCTTAAATCAATATTTTCAGTTCAGTGTATAAATCATGGATGTCAGAATGGTGGATTATGTCTTGTACAGAACCATCAAACAAACTGTTATTGTCCTGCTGGTTTCACTGGACAGTTCTGTGAAGTGGATATGGATGAATGTGCAAGTCGACCCTGTCACAATGGTGGCACATGCATTGATCGACCACAAGGATATATATGCCGTTGTCCACCAGGTAAAACAATCACTTTCCATGTAATTTATTAGAAATATTTCAAATAGTTAATCCAGTGTTTTTCTAATAGTAGTATCACCAACATGGTAATTTTTTTTTGTGGCACGCTGTTTCTTTATAAATGTAAGGATATTACTTTTTGTAGTACAGCAGTTCTGTTTTGTCCTTTAGCAGACCCTTTTGTCATTTTTTCTTTGGACAAATGAAATACATTGAATGTTTCTTTATTAATAAACAGTAGTCTTAAAGATTTTGTGTTTTGTTAGCAGTTCCTACCTCTAATGTTATTTTTACTGTAAGTCCTTGAGTTTTTCCCAGGCCTGTGGAAAAATTCCCAGCCTCCCTCTTGATGGCCCTGGAGATGTTATGGTGCTGCTCAGCACTATTTCACAGCATTCCTAAAATATGCTTTGTAGCATCCTAGTTGAAAACCACTTAGTTAATTATTGTCTAAACAATAATGATTGAAAAATATTCAATATGAGAAAATTAAATTTTTGTTCCTATTTTAAGGTTTCAGTGGATTACAATGTCAGGAAGAACAAAATGAATGTTTTAACAATACATGTCCAGAGAGAGCTATGTGTCAAAATGCACCAGGAATAGGAAATGTAAATTGTTTATGTCGATCTGGTTATGAAGGAATTGGTTGCAATATCACAGTGAATCCTTGTGTAGTAGGTGATAATCCTTGTAATAATGATGGTATTTGTATACCACTTCAACAAGGTCGATATAAATGTAAATGCAATCCAGGATGGACAGGAAGAAATTGTGAAACGGATATTGGTAAGTTAAATTATAACATTTTAAATATTTTAATACAGGTTAAAGTTTTAAGAATATATGTTTTTATTTAGATGACTGTGCTGAGCAACCCTGTCTTTTGCAAGCAAAATGTACTGACTTATTAAATGATTTCCAATGTGACTGTCCAGTGGGATTTGGTGGTAAAAGATGTCATTTAAAATATGATCTCTGTGTTAATAATCCTTGTGTAAATGGAATCTGTGTTGATCGTTTGTTTTATCAAGAGTGTATTTGTCATTCTGGTTGGACAGGACAAAACTGTGATATTAATATAGATGAATGTCTCAGCAATCCATGTATGAATGATGCTCAATGTATAGACCAGGTTGATGGATATCATTGTCAATGTGATGCTGGATTTACTGGTTCTCGATGCCAACATCCAATTGATGCATGTGAATCTATGCCATGCAGAAATGGTGGAACCTGTGTAGATCTTATAGATGGCTTTGTGTGCCATTGTAGACCTGGTTACATGGGCTTGCAATGTGAAGCTGAAGTAGATGAATGTGTCAGCAATCCTTGTCATCCAGTTGGAACTGCAACTTGTGTAGATTTGGATAATTCATTCCATTGTACATGCAATCCTGGCTATACAGGGGAATTATGTGAAGTAAGTAATTTTTTATTTTATTATTGTAAGTGGTTTTGATGCAAGTTGGCTATTATTACAAATTTTTTTTTATAATAAGTAAAAGTATTTAGGATAATTAGTACATTTTTTGCTAATCTAAACTAATTATTGTACAGGACTAGTGGAACTATATGTAAAGAAACTAAAATTTAAAAAATACTATAGATTATATACATAGAACATTTTAACATTGTATTTTTGGCACATATATTTTTACTAAAATGATTGCATATTAATTTTACAAACTTGCCATGTTTTTAAAAATTTATTTTTGGTTTTGTCTAAAACATTTAATTGAAAAATAAACAAACTTGGTTCAAATTAACCAACAGTTCAGATTAGTGAAAGTACAGTACACTATAATTGGAAATCGGCAAAACAATAATATAGAGGCATACAATGTACTGTACATTACACTTATATAAAGTTCAATATTTCTCACTGTAATTTGTTAACAGCTTTACATTGGAGCTGATAAACTACATTGCATCTTTCTCCTACACAATGGACAATGGAAGTGAAAGAATAATAAATTCTATGGCTTCTTCCTTCTGCCTTTATCATGGTAGGCAAGTATTGAAAACAATGTTGGTACCAACAGTTTTGAATTGTTTCAGTGTCATTTAATGATTGTGCTTGCAATAAACATATGTCAGCTTGGAAATAAAATTTCCTGTTTCACATACAATACACAGTATTACTTTATTTTTAAACAAATCAAATAAATTATTTAATTGGTCAAATGATTTATGATAGCTGTTATTATTTTTTTTTGCATTTATTATCAGTAATTGCATTCAGCAGAATCAACAGTTCCAGAGCAGTTGAGTATTTTAATGCTGAACACCCTCTACAGAAGTGCTGCTTCAGAACATTTGGAGTTTATTAACATTATGTTTATTAGACTTCATTTATCATACTTTTTGGTAGTGTAAATGAAGCATAACTGATCAATGATGGCTGTGCTCACATAGCAAATGAAATATGTATTATTTATGTGTGTATTACAGTATTAATTCACTCACAAACAGTTATTAACAAATAAAAACAGATAACATATGCAAAATTAAACTTTAAAAATGAATTTAATTTACTTTGGCAAATGTTTTTTAAGTTTGTGGGAATGAAAACCCACTCATCACTATCTATTCACATCAACTCATAATTCACTGTTCAACAGATTTTTTGCCGTCATATGACAGTTATAGCAATCAAATTAACATTGGCTTTATTCAGCAGACTTGTGGTGGTACACCAGTATATTTTTGTTGTTTTTATTTTATATAAGTATATATAAGAATATTCTATTCCCCTTTCTCTTTGTTCTGTTTCTATACTTTCTGGAACTTTCGTCTGAATGTGGGTGGTCAGTGACCCAATTTCGGGACAAAGGAGTGAAGATAGCCCAGAGGGCAAGTGGGGGACGATAAGGACACTTTTGGCTTCGGACCGGAGGAGGAAAGACCGTCGGAGAGAGCAGTCTCGAGTTCGGTGTTGCTTCGGCCGGAAGGGTTACGAAGAACACTAAAGACAGAAATAGCATTGGAAGAGAAAAAGAACTTTGGAAAAGCCGAGATTTAAGAACGAATTTTGGGTCCTCGCATGTGCTCCGTCCCCATAGAAGAAAAGAATTCCAAGACGAAAATCATCTTGTGGCCACCACCTCAGTCAACCATTCGGGTACCCGTTCCTTACTAGGAATTTCCATTTTTATTCTCCCATTTTATTCTAATTCCTGTCCTTCCTTTCCCCTTTTAGTTATAAGTAGTTTTAAGTTAGTGATTAAGTGTCTCCTTTGTTACGCGAAAGAAGAGTTTAGCTCCGCTGTAGATTAAAAGTCGGTGTTGTTTGTTTGTTCCCTTTTGTTTAATTAAAGTGAGGAACAAGGAGGTCGGAATCAACGAACCTTTCCTGTATATATGTTCATACAGTAAAATAAAGCACGTCTTATTGTTTTATATTCCTGTCTCTTTGTGAGAATTCATTCATCACCACGTGCTCACCACAGACTCAAGTGAGTCTGCTGAATAAAGCCAATGTTAATTTGTATGTTTATTTCAAAAATAATTACTAAATTTATTTTAGAAAATATGATATGAAATCTAAAAGAAATAGAAAGAAAATAATATAAATTTTCATTTCATTCATTTATATAATGAAATTTTTACTATTGAACATATATTATATACATTTTTTTAACATTATAATTTATAATCTTTGTCATATTAAACAAAAAGAATTATATCTGTTAATAAAGTTATACTTTATTTTAAAAAAAATTTAACCTAATGAAACTTTTTTCAAAGCTGTTTTTTGTGTTGTATTCCTTACTAATAAATATTTTATAATTTTAAATACAAATTAAATCATCAAAAACAAAGTTAAAAACATTTTTAATAAATTATGCAAATGTTTGAAAATAAATAATATTTAGATTTGCAATGCAACTTTTACAATGGGAAATTATACTACTAAGACAATATTTTGTTTTCCAATATATTATTTGCAGTTTAGGCCTTTTATTCTTTGAACAAATTTCACCAGTTTCTACTTTTGTACGTACATTGAATTTCTTTTCAAACATATTTATATTAAGACATACTATTAAGAGAAATGATATTTAAATGAAATATCATTTCTCTTAATACACATGAGCAAAGTTTAAAATTGTGCGTAGTGTCATCTGTTACGAGATTTCATTAAAAAATAACTTTTAATTTTTTTATTATAATTAATACTGTAATATAAGTGGCTTAATTTTGAGAATAGAGATGAGTTTTTAGAAATTTTGTAAAAGCTAATAACAATTAAAATTTTTCATTTAGTGAAGTCCGACCACATCCAAGATATGACATGTGACCTCCCTCAAAATTTAATAGCATCAAGCCCTTATATACAAGTGACCATACCAAATTTTGTTTCTTAATTTTTACTCCATCCTGAGGTATTAAATGAAATAGATGCACACATATCTATGGAATTTTTTCCTGTTTTTTTATTTTTTTTTTGTTTAAGGGGTCTCAAAACATCAAGATTTGCAAAAACTCCAGAGGGTCAAATTTGTTACAATTTTAATACAAAATTTCCTATATTATATACATAATAGTTGGGAAAGTTTAAATATTAATTTATTATTAAATAATATACAGATTATTAATACACTTTTCATCTTTAATTGTGAATTTTTAAATTATTGTAAAAGATTAAAAGTATATTAACTTGTTAAATTGTTTATCTAACAGGTGAACAATTTAATTTATTTGCTTATTTTTTTGAATTAATATTAATTTTACAAGACCTAAATCTAAAATAAAGGTCATTAGTGAGATAAATCTTAAAAATCTCAAAATCAATGAGCAATTTATTTAACTACCAGTAATATTTTTAAAGATCATTTTTTAGGTTATTCTTTTTCAACTCTTACTGTCTTGTGGACAGTACAGAGAGTTTTCTTTTAAGCCTATTGTGGGTTTGGCCAGCCACAATAGGGATGGCCAGTGCCATTTTTAAAGTTACATTAGCATAGAATAATTCAAATACATACAAAATTTAAACATTAGTATAAATTATTGACTATTTATTTCAACAATAGATCCATTAAAATATAAGTTTTAGTAAAAAATACTTGTAGTATTTTTGTATTTAGATATACAGGTTATGTAGTTTTGGTTTTTTCCAGAAAAATGAGTATATAATTTATGTTTTAAAATATCTTACTAATTATATATGGTATAAATGTTGAATACAGTCGACCACCCTATAACACTGTTGATTTTTCTGTTTTATATGAATTCCATGTTGTACGAATCACTTAGATTTTACAAATACATGAGCCGTTCACAGCCAGCACATGTATTTGTAAAATCTAAGTGACTCGTACAACTTGGAATTCATAGAAAACGGGAAAAATCAACAGTGTTATAGGGGGTTGACTGTACTTTTTAATTTTAAAATTTCATGTAAAGCAGCTGTTTTAAATTGAAAATTATTCTTTAAAAAACACTCTAATTTGAAATTTTTGAATCTTTTTATTATTCAAAAATTGTGATTACTGATTATTCTTTGTAAATTCGATGACCAATATAAAACATATTTTATAGGATTAATATTACTCTTTTTAGATTGCCTCTGAATAAACAATTTCAATTTATTCTAGAAATTAGCAACTACAAATTAAATAATGATCTATGATTTAAATTTTTAAAATGTATTTAATTATTTTATACATATTTATTCATATAAGATAGAAAATAATTTTTATTTTCAAATATTTTAAAATTTTATTACTAATAAACTGTAGCCTACATTTATGTAATTTATTGAAAATTTGGTATTTTATTTTTTAGTTTAATATCAATGAATGTGCCTCTAATCCATGCTTAAACAATGGAATCTGTATAGATACTGTAAATGGCTTTAAATGTCAATGTTCTCAGGGATGGACTGGAGAACATTGTGAAAAAGATATTGGAAAATGTGATATTTCACCTTGTCTAAATGATGCTAAATGTATTGATCTATTCCAAGACTACTTCTGTGTGTAAGTATTTTTAAAACTAAAATAACATTTTAAATCATTATTCATCTATATATATAAATGAGGATGTTTGTTTCAGTGGCGTACTGTAGTGGGGCGGCACTTTTTAGGGAGCGGCAAAATTTCACAATAAATAATAATAATATCTTGTAAAAATTTGAAACATCCTAATCCATACTTGCATCGTGCCTACGATAGTGCTATCGTCCGGACAGTCCGGGAATCGGCTCGCCGGGTGGATTAGTAACTTTTTTTCATCCGAGGAATTCCTGCGAAACCTGTTGACCTTTTCTTTTCTTTTCTTTTTTTTTTTTTTTTTCTCTTTTGCTTCTAACCCACTTTAGAATTAAAACTGTCAATCATTATGCTAACTGCTGACAGCTTAAGAGACACGTAATTTATTTACTTTGCAATCAGAAATGAGTTGGAAAATAATAAACTTTCGTTTCCAAATGAACATATCTGTTAGATTCTCTTCCATTGGTTATGGTTTGTCGAACGTTTTCTTACGTAAATTTGACGTCGTTCTTCAGAACTTCGCATTGTTAAATCGAAGTGACGTCAAATTGACGTATAAGTGAGCGCTTTTACCATCTAACCTTAGTGTAAGTTGTTTTTTTTTTCTCCCTTCTAAAATTAATTATATAATCAATAAAAGACATATAAATAATAAAATGTATATGTATATTTTTTTTGGGCTGCAATTTGAAAAAAAAATTATAGACTTATAAATTCCCATTATCGTCCATCTGACTGTCTGTCTGTCCTTCCTTAATCTCGAGAATGGCGTTAGGTATAAGGAAATCGAGACCGGATATGGAAAGCTTAGGGGAGGAGACCCGATTAACTATATACGAACTTTCCGGCTTGGACCGGAAGTAACGTGGTTTCAATTCAGAAATTTTCCCCGGAAAGGAGTTTCTCTATTCGGGAAAAGTATGATGTACAGGGGCAAGATTAATTTGAGATCGAGCGCATATATTTCAAATTAAATTAATTAAAAATACACAGAACAATAAAGAGGAACAGAGCCCCTTTCACATGTTCCTTCTTAAATTGTTCCTCTTTAAATTACTGACTTTTTTGTTATAGAATTAATAAAATTCTTGTTTTTAAAGCTGTGGTCATCTTTTAAAACAAGAATTTTATTAATTCTATAACAGAATGTGAGTATGTAAATAATAAATTTGGCCTTGAAGCCAACACATCTTACACAATTTCATTGCTTTCCATTATAGAAAACTTAACTTTATTGCTTTAATTACCATGTTATCTACTACCTACAACCTTTAAAACGGGCATTTTATTTATTTTATAACCAATAAAAGATGTATAAATAATAAACTCCGCATTGAATCAAACTTAATTTGCAATTTTTATAACTGTTTCCGCTACAGAAAAAACAATTACATTGTTAACTTACAACCAGTTGCTTTTAATTATATAACACGTTAGCGGCTATCTACAGCCTTAAAGCGGACATTTTATAACCAAAAATTGATCGTGTAAATAATAAATTCCTCATTAAATTCCATGTAATTTGCAATTTTTATAACTGTTTCTGTTATAGAAAACTTACCTCTGTTGATTTGAAGCTGGCTGCTAGGTACAAATAGCTTAATCAGAGGGGGATCCAGAGGGCCCGGGCCCTCTAACCGTTATAAATAAATTAAGAAAAATCAAGTAAGTACAGGGAAAAATTCTTATAACTTCATCCAAGTCACAGTAGTAAACGGGTGAATGTAGGTTCTAATTGTTATGTTTTTAAGTTAAATTCGTGTATAAATAGGTAAATTTTCTACTGAGAGAAAGAAAATTTATAATATTCCGCATCAAGTTTTGCTATTTTTTAATTACCATGCTAACTAATACTAACAATTTTATCTTTGCAAACCTACAAAATGTTGATAATCTTCTAAACAAACCGCATCCGAGTATTAAATAAATTAAGCTGCTTACTACTAGAGTAATCAGCTTTGTTGCTATAGTAGTAAAGCTTCAGATTATTTCTATAACAGAATAAAATTTAAAAAAGAAAAAAAATAAATAAGACATAACATTAACAATTCCATCTTTCTAACTCCATATCCATTAAAGCTTCTTATCCCTTCAACAAATCAACTTCAGAAAATTAATTAAAAGTGAACTTATTCCATCTTTAAATGCATTTAAATTAATAATGCAAGAATTATTATTATTATAAAATCTAACTCAATAATTATTTTCTTGGTTAATATAACTCCATAAAATCACTTTATTAAGGTTAATTGAGCAAGAGAGACGAGCTAGACGAGAAGTTAAATATTTAAAAATATTGAAGTTTGCGATAAATTTCGATGCATAAATCTAATTTTTTTGCAATTTTTCCAGATTAAATCCATAAAATTTATAAGATAGAACCAACAGGAAGCGTAGAAAATACGTTGGAAGTATCAACTAAGTTTACTGCAACTACTACAAGAATATTAAAATTAATCGGTAAACATTTTTTACTACCTTCCTATAAAGAAAAAAATATATATTTTATAAGTGTAATATACGTTTATAACTCTATAAATCGATAGTAACTGGGTTTTTCCCCCTATTTTTTATATTTTTTCCTTTATAAGATTCGCTGAGTTTGCTAGATCTTTAGATTGTGCACACGTGCATTTTTTCAGTTTCTATACTTCCAGACACTTTAAAATTCTTTTAAAAAATTAAATTAATAAATATCACTCCTATTTTAAAATTAAACTGAAAATTTTATAAGCATTTTATTTTTATTTAAAAAATAATAATAAAAAAAGCAGCTAAACCGCAAGCTGAAAAGTTATGAAGAGGAGCAGTTGTGAGGAGAGAATTTTACAGTCTTCGACTTGAAACTTAAGTTAATTTAATTTGGATACTCAGTAACTTTTCCTTCCATTCATAACTTCAGAATTATTCCCCCAAGACCAGGCTCTGTGTTTAAATATTTGAACACTCTCAGGCTCTGAAGTTTGACAAATGGAACTGTATTGATTCTGCTGAAAGCATGCTGTGAACAACGTCTATATATCGATGTTTACAAGCACTTTCGTAAAGAAACAACATTGGCAACAATAGTAAAGATTGATAAACCTTTAAAGTTCGATACAATCACAACTTAAAATTAAATTAACCGATTAATAATAATAATAACCCTCCCATTTAATCGGATTTAATTAACTGAGGTCACGTTAATGACGTCAATTTACTACGTCATTATTTTACGTATCGGTCGAGGCCAATTGTAAAATTTTATATCCTTCCACTAAAGTAAAAATTTTATTAAAGGAAGCGACGTTTATTCCTTTTATATTTAGAATGATAATGGTTGCTTCCTCTCCCTTTTTTTCGTGTGTATAAATCTATTTTCTCTTCTTTTTTTTTATACTGTTGGCTGCATATTTTGTCATTGAATGAACTGGGGTATTGATTCGACTTGTTTTCAGAAATCTGTTATAAAGAAGTGATGCGGAGGAGAAGATTATGCAGAATTTTATATATTCATTCTGAGTTCATTTATATAAATTTTGTGTTCGGTTATCCTTCCTGTTTTTTTTTTATTTTTTAAAAAAGTGGGAAGTAACTGAACGCTGAATTTCTCCATTTTTTTTCTTCTAAAGGAAGAGGGTTAACTGAACACAGAATTGTTCTGTTCCTTCTAAAGAAAACGGGGATAACTGAACACAGAATTTCTCCCTTTTTCTAAAAGGAAACTGTGTTCAGTTATCCCTAACTAAACGCAGAACTCCCAGTCTTCTTTTAACAAAAAAAAAAGAAAGTAAGAAGATGACTGCACATATAATATTTCCTCTTTTCTAAACTGACACAAGGTAGAACAGCCGAAGACAAAATACCCCATTTCTTGTAAAGAAAACGGGGGGAGACGACCGAAGCACACAATTTCCTCCTTTTACCTAAAGCGATAAAGAAGGGGGGAAAGATAAAATCGACAAACGTTATCGTGTCTAGAAAATTTTACTTAATTACAAAAATATTTCTCATTAAATTCCATAAAAGACGTTTTTGATCGCTTCCATTCATCTCGAAAAATAAAATGTAAATTCCCCTCCCCCTATGGATCCTTAAGTAGGAGTACTTACGACTTTGATTCTAATATAATTTGCACATTTTACTAAAGAAAATCGAGTCTGCACTCGATCGAAAATGTAACATTATTTGATGAAAAGGGTCCCTCTCCCTTCCCCCTTTACTGAATAGAAATATTTTAAATTCCTTTTATTCATAATTTAAATGTCCGAAAGTATCTTAAAGTATTTTTTTAATTATTAATCAAATTTAGAAATTATTTAAGAATTATTTTAATCAGTTTGTCAATAGAAAAACTTATTAATTTTATTCGTGAAAGGGGAAAGAGATGAATAATTTGTTCGCCATTAAATTTATACCTTGGAGAAGTGTTTTTTTTTTGCATGGCGAAAAAAAGGCATTTTTTTCCACTTTATTCTATTAAAATTTCTCTATGTTAAATACTAAAAATCATTAATTATATCGAGCTGTACAGCGTGTACTTATTAACACAGTAATGTTTTTTTTATTTATTTAAGTAACCTTCGTTAAGTTAAATGGAATGTATTTTTTTCCCTTTTCTTCTTCATCTTCCTTTTTATCATAGATCAAAGATGACAGATTTAAAATAATAAGTTTGTATATTGATGAAGCTTCCTTAAAATATTTGTTTTTCTAAAGGTTAAGATTGATGTTCTGGTGCGGTTTTTAGAATTATTCACACCAGAACGAAGGGAAAAATCAATTTTGTGATTACGCATCAATTTTTCAACTTTAATATATTTGATGAATCATTCAGGGAGAAAAAAAAAACCTTTTATATATATCTACAAATGTGTGCGTGAGAGCTTTTATTATTTATTTTATTTTTTTTTTCCTTATTTTTTATTGTATTTTCGATGATGAAGTCTTCTTTCTTTCCTCTGTTCTTCTCGTATCTTTAATATTTGTAAGATGTATATTTGTTTCTTT